ACACACACAAACATATATATATGTATATATAGTGATTTTCCAAGGGTAGCTTGGATGTAGCACAAGGCCGAAAGTATGGGACACCCAGTGAGGATCGAACTCACCACTCAGTCGTAAGCGAGACAAGCTTGCTAACCATTACACTGCCCCGAGTCGCCCAGTGATTTTCTAAGGGTATATCATGCACAAACCAATTCAAATCATAATTAATAGAAATAAAATAATAAAAAAAATTAAAAAAATTAAATAATAAAAAAACACAACAGTTTCTATTTTCACACACAAAAGTTATTGACTGCCTGATGATTGCGTGAAAGCATATGAAACTAGCAGTTGTGGCTGATCACTGGCCACTTGAAATTTGATTTAATATATAATAAAGCTCTACCATTGGATATGGCATAGATCACTCTTTTTTCTTGTGTGCAACCTTAGCAAACTCTTTTGGGAGCGGATTATCATGATTATATATATATATATATATATATATCGCTCTTCAATTACGAATTGGGCGCTATTGGCTACTGACGTTTGTATACATCTCATGTATAATACGTTAAAAAAATTCCCTTTTTCGCCGATAGCTTAGGGGTAGAATCTCTGACTGATGCCAAATCGGTCGAGTTTCGATCCCGGCTTGACGTCGAACGTCTAGCCACATTGATGAGCTGTCGTAAAGTGAAACAAGCTTGTATGTGGATGACCATATATATATATATATATTTATGAATGACACCCTGTTTCAAATCTCACCATGTCACCATGTTTGTCAGGAAGAAGACTTCCCGATGTTATCGAAATGGATCGAGGTGTTGACTCAAGCCTTGTGACTGGAACTGGGTAGACGGAACTCTTGAGGGCCGTCGATATCTGTGCTAGCACAAAACCATAAATCATCGTGGCCGAGGGCTTGAGTGTGTTGACTTTGATCAAATTCTTGATCACGCTAGATAACACGCTCTCTCCCAGAAACCGTAACTAAGGTCTGCTCAGCATAGTTGCAGTATAAGCCATAGGTGTGTTCTGTGGGTGTTGAGCAAACACAAATGTGCCCGTGCGAGCGTCTGCAATAGGGATTGGCTAACCGCCCTAGTAGACGGATATCCTCGAATACGAGTGACCAGCTATTATGTATATATATATATATATATATATATATATATATATATATATAGCATTATTATTGTGAGACCGGAAACTACCTACACAATAGACTCTTCCAGGCCTATATTAAGTAGGCGACATAGCACTCTAGAGAGTGACAGAGAGTGACACAGAGAGACAGTGAGAGTCTCGTACGACTACCAGTGTTGGACACTAACATATAGTAAGCTCTGCTTACACTATCTCTGTAACCTGATGTTAATATATCTTTCTTACATCTAATCCGTGTTCCGTGTTTTACTTCGGTGGTCTCAACTTTGGCCCCACATCAGTGGCGACGAGGATTCTAGAAACGCACTCACGGCGAAACCTAAATATCTTACAAATCCCACATCTATATCGACAAAGAATTCGAGAAACGCATTCACGTCGAAAAGCGCAATACCTTGCCAGTCCTACATCAGTGGCGACAGAAAGATTCAAGAATTTCGTTCTCCCCATATCAATAGCGACAGTACTCAAAAAATACACAGAAACTACACGCGTTCCCACAGCAGTGTTGAACGTGAAATTAAGCTGGTATTACTACATTAGCGATTTAAAAGCTAAACACCTGGCGTCTACATATATTCCAATACCAAACATCAGTGACGAGCAGTGTTTCGACATCTACGGAATATTTAAGTCTGTCCAAATAACAAGAACGATTTCTTACACACACACACACACACACACACACACACACACACACACACAAACACACACACACACACAAAAACAGTTTGTAATAAAACAAACTGACAATACAAAAGCGGAAGTACTACCATAAAACTCAAGTTTTCGAAAAGAAAAACTATCGAAAACTTTTTTTTATGTAACTGAGTTGAACTCGTGCATAAAATCATTCTCCCCTCAAAATTCACTGAGGTGAGTTTTCTCTTTTTATAACTCTATAAAAAAAATTCATAAATGTGGTGAAAATTTATACAATTACGGAACCACGGAATCTCAAAAAAAAGCTAAACACATAATTAGTTTAGTTTAACTATTCTCTGTCCATATTTTTTTTCTGTAAAAGAAAAAAAAGGAACAAATCTATCAAGATTTTTTTTGTACCTCCTCTTAGTACACGTGTTTCAAAGCAACAAAAAAAGCGCTGTCATTTTTAAATATGGAAGATTTGCAAAAAGTAGTTGCCCAAATGTTAAAACTAAATTTGGATCAGCAACAAAAATCAGAAGAAAGACAACAACAACTATTTTTGGAATTACATAAACAACAAATGGAATTCCAACGAATTACGCTTCAGAATGCTGAACTACAACAGAAACAACTTAAAGAATTACTCGTAAATGCAAAAGGCTCAAACTCTGAAAAAGATACAATATTCTCCCAGAGTACAATCTACAATTCAATGGAAACCTTTGAATACGTACCGGAGAACGACAAAACGTTCGACGCTTTTTACAGGCGCTACGAAGATATTTTCAACGTAGGCTGTGAACAATGGTCTAGTAAAAAGAAGGTACGTTTTCTATTGAGAAAACTAGGACCTACACAACATAGTAGGTTCGTAGACTTCATATTACCCAAGAAAACCACTGACTTGGATTTTTCAGAGACTATTAAGCTCCTATCGGAACTATTCGGGCCTAACACAACCTTGTTCCCCAAACGTTGGAAATGTCTGAACACAGTCAAAGACAACCAGCAAGATTTTCTAACGTTTGCAGCATCGGTAAACAAGCTATGTAATGATTTTAAACTAGCCGAACTGACTGCCGATGATTTTAAGTGCTTAATTTTCGCACAAAGTCTAGTATCAGCAGAAGACACCGAAGTCAGACGTCGGGTACTGACCAAGCTTGAGAACGAACAAGGATTGACTCTCCAAAAACTGGCAGAGGACTGTCAAAGAGTAATATCTGTAAAGCGTGACTCAAACACTATCGAGGAATCAGGTGTGACTCAGATTAATAAAATCAGAAGCAAGTCTACCTCCTATTCCCCTCAAAAAGTCAAAAGGCAAATCTCATGTCCTAAATTCCGCAGTAACCAAAACCCAAATAGGTTAAAGAAACCGCCCGGACCATGTTACCATTGTGCTAAATGGCATTGGATGAAATTCTGTCCAGTTAAGAACAAAAAATATTGCAAAAATTGCAATAAAAGTGGTCATACTTTAAATTCGTGCTGGTACGCCAACAGAACGAGAAAACCCAAAAAATAAAATTAGGCAAGCTCAATCTGACGATATTGCCGATAGGAATTTAAAGAAATATGTAACAGTGGATATTTTCAATAATTCCATTAAATTCCAGCTTGACTCGGGTTCTAATATTTCAACCATTAACTGGCGTACTTGGCTAAAATTAAACAAGCCAACCTTATTAAAAACAGATAAAACATCAAAATCCGTAACTGGCGAAAAGATTAACATTTTAGGCGAGGTAATACTTACAGTAACACTAAATGGAGTTACCAAAAAGCTCAAAGCCTACGTATTGAAAACTTCAGTTAACTTATTTGGAACAGATTGGATAGAAAAATTCAATCTTTGGGATTGCCCAATGAGTACATTTTGTCGCAAGATACAAACTACAACGTCCAATTTGGTAAATCTAAAAAAAGAACTCAAACAACAATTTCCCCAGTTTTTTTCTGGCGGCCTTGGGAAATGTACTAAAATGAAAGCTAAGTTCAAGGTGAAGGACGGTGCACAACCGGTATTCAAAAAGAAAGAGAATGTCCCTTTCGCTGCTCTAGAGCAAATCAACAAAGAGTTAGATAGACTCGAACAAGCAGGTATTCTGTCAAAAACAGATTTCAGCGAGTGGGCAGCACCTACGGTCTACGTAAAAAAGAAGTCCAATCAAATACGAGTATGCACAGATTTTTCCACAGGGTTAAACGATGCCTTGCAAGATCACCACTATCCTCTTCCAAGCCCTGAAGAAATTTGCAATAAACTCAATGGTGGAAATTTCTTTTCTAAAATCGACCTCTCGGACGCATACCTTCAGATAGAGGGGGAAGAAGAAACACCCATAGAGGGTTGTACAAATACAACAGGCTGGCTTTTGGAGTAAAGCTTGCGCCTGCAATTTTCCAGCAGGTCATGGACGCCATGCTGGGCGATCTTGACTACGCAACAGCCTATTTGGATGATATACTGGTTACTAGTAAAACTACGGCAGAGCGTAGTGTGACCTTTTCTTACCAGAGATTAAAATACTTAGGTCACATTATAAATAAAGAGGGTCGTCGGCCGGATCCAGAAAGAGCCAACGCGATCAGAAACATGCCGGCCCCAGATAACGTTCAAGCGTTACAAAACTTCCTCGGCCTAGCTAACTTTTACCAAGGGTTCATTAAGAACATGCAAAAGTTGAGAGGGCCTCTCAACCAACTTTTAAAAAAGGACAAACCATGGTCATGGACCCCGGAATGCCAAGACGCATTCGAGAAGATCAAGAAAACTCTTACTTCAGACCTCTCCCTCACCCATTACGACCCTAGTCTCGACATCATAGTCGCAAGTGATGCAAGCTCGTACGGCATTGGTGCTTGCAGGTTACATAAACTGCCAGATGGTTCGCGAAAAGCTGTGGCTTACGCATCAAGATCTCTACTTCGATCTCGACATGCCCCAAGAAGTGCGACGCTCAGGAAGGAAAAGGAAATTTACTCAACCGCTCGACGTAAATCCCAAGAGGAAAAAGTATTAACAGTTTTATTTTTTCTCTCCTTTTCAAAAAGACAATTCTTTGGAAGGCGGGTATTGTGAGACCGGAAACTACCTACACAATAGACTCTTCCAGGCCTATATTAAGTAGGCGACATTGCACTCTAGAGAGTGACAGAGTGTTTTTTTCTTTTTTTTTTGTGTAATTTAGACGACATTTTATCCATCGCACAATCTCTCTCTTTCTCTCTCTGCCTCTCTTTCTCTCTCTCTCTCTCTCTCTCTCTCTGAAATTCATAAGACTTATATTTAATTGTGATGACCCAAAAATATAAAGTTTATCATTAGGACAGTGGTGGTTGGAAATTAGAGATTTTGCAATTGATGAAACTAACCGACAAAGGCTTTGGGATGTAAGCACAGCAGATTCCATCACCATCTTGCTAAAGAAAGTCATATAATACAACAATATAAACAATAATCATCACAGAGAATCTTTTGTGTCTGCCATCAGCATGGCTGATGCTAAATTTAAATGCGACGCCAATCGCCACCTTTTGTCACCGTGTTTCTTTTTTGTCCTTCCCACAATTATCTTCATTAATATTTTCTCATTCTTCCACTCCCTATAACAACCTGCCTTCTAGTGGCATTATCGTCTGTTTTGGGATGAAACGATTAAAGATATCAGAAGAAATGATATATCTTCTATTTAATTTACATTCCCGAAGTGAAAGGAAGGAAATCCTTGCAACCATTTTGTTCACACAGAAATAGAAGCTTCAATTAACGTCTTAAAGGTTCAAAACTACCCATTTTTCATGGCATTTTCGTAAAAGAGAATTATTTCTGCGATTAGAATGTTGTTCAAGTGTTGAAGATTGTTATACATAAAAGCCCAGACCTGTTTTCTTTTTTTTTTTTACATTTGATGTTATTTTCGTATTAATTTTCGAAGATTACTCTCCAACGAAATTTCTCGTATAATTATTGTAAAAATTGAACATAAACTAATTCATCCATATAAAAACTATTTCAGCTTTTCTTTTCTTTTTCAATTTTTCTTCAGATATTTACACAAAATGTCAGACCTTTAGATACAACAGTTCTGCTAACATTCTAAGGATAAAGTAAACGACAATGGAAATATTACGTTTAGAGGATGATATGATGTAAATCACAATCATACGGACTTACCGTACTGACTATTTTTAAATCACTTCTCAATGAATATTGACATTAACTTGTATTGGTCAAATGGAAACTATGCATTAAGCTTTAGGTATAATATATATTTATTCCACGTACAATATAAAAACTCACTTTCTTAATATACTTTTTTAATGTGTGTGACGTCTACAGACTCGGAGCGTGGAATCAACAAGCAGAGTTCGAATTCCGATTGAGATATTTACATCTTTAAGTGACCTTCGCACAATTATTCTTGAGAAAGGTATAAATCCATGTCTTCTCCAACTCTGTTATGTGTTAAATATAGGCAGACTAGACTTTCTAAGCATGTTCGGCAACCAGTACGGGAGAGGGAAAACCTAGTAGGTTACATACTTGAACCTTAACTAACGTCAATACAGTATAATTGAAGTATGAACCACAGTTTGGCTTTGTTTGTGTCGAAAGAAGACAAATAGCCCTGAGTAGATGTTCGGAAATGAGCAGGCATATTGAATATGAGAAATCACATTAATTTTCAATGTGCCTTCAAATCGAAACAGTTCTGATGATGTGAGATTGTATATCAAGAAGAGACAAATAACAAGGCAACTATTATGAGGTAAACATTTACTCCCTTGTCACTCTGAAAATTAAACGATGGAGAACTCTAACAATGTGGGAACAACTTTGCTACGGCCTACCATTGATTTGGTCTTACAGGAAATATCAGGCCCTTGCATTGTTAGGCCCAAATACCATCTTACCCAATTTTGATATTACCATATCTGATATACCTTTTGAACAAGTAGAGTATTTTACTTATCTAGGCAGCCTTTTATCAAACAATTTGCAAATCAGAAAAGGATGTGAAATATATAGAATCGGAGCAGCACACGTAGCATTTTGAAAGCTAACCAAACCCGTCTTCAACAACAAAAATGATCATGTATAATCCTGTTGTCATTTCAACTTTTCTATATGGCTGCAAAACCTGAACTCTATATATAGACGTGATATCCAAAATTTAGAAGCCTTTCAGTAGCAAAAACTTCATTCAATCTTGAAAGGGAATACTATATGGGCAACGGCAAAGAAAGAACAAAGAAAGAATCAAATCGCTGATCAAGAAACACTTTTCGATGTTCAGGACATGTAGCAAGAATGGAAGTCTTATTCAATGAGCTCGCTTCAAGAAAAAGACCACGGTGTTGCTCTTTTCAGAGAGCAAGGACAGACTCAAAACAACACTGAAATCTATTGGACATGAGCCTAAATCATTTGAAACACAAACTGGAGACCAAACCAAATTACAATCGGAACCAAAAACTTCGAAGAGACCAAAAGAGAAAAAGAAGAAAAGGCGACCAAAAGAACAATGAAGAAGTCAAACGTCAAAACCCGACAAAATCATGCTTGCCCTACACCAACATCACCATGCATTCAATGCCATCGACCATGCAAGACCTGGTCTACTTTGCTATCAACGTCATCATCATAAAGGAAGCTTTCATCAAAGAAGAAATTAAATTCTTTGATACGAGATAATGCCAACGATGATAAATGTTTTCAAGCTACATTCTGTATAGAGTTCATCAACTAAAGTAATTTTACTTTTTAAAGCATGGGACATAATTGAAATTGTTACAAGAAATTTGATTATATTGTGTTTTACAATCACAGTGTTTATTTCTCTGCTGTACAAAGATTACATTATTTCTGGACAACAGAAATGTTGAGGTCAATTATTATTATTATTGTTATTATTATTATTATTATTATTACGTGGTCAATTATTATTATTATTATTTCATCAATTATTATTATTATTATAACTATGTGGTCAATTATTTTTATTATTATAATTATTATCATTATAATTCTGTACAATTACTATTATTATTATTATTATTTGTCAATTATTATAATTATGTGGTCCGTTATTACAATTATAATTATGTGGTTAATTGTTATTATTATAATTTGTGGCAAATTATTATTTTTATCATAATTATGTGATAAATTATTATTATTATTTGGTCAATTATTATTATTATTATTATAACTATGTGGTCAATTATTATTATAATTATAATTATTATTATTATGTGGCCAATTATTTTTATTATTATAATTATGTGGTCAATTATTATTATTATGACTATGTAGTCGATTATTATTATTATTATTATAAACATGTGGTCTATTATTATTATTATTATTATTCACATGTTTGTTGGGAGATATAAAGCTTTAGAATTAATATTATTATATTTTGCACTTTTTAACTTCTGGCTTCGTTAACTTCATTGAATAGTTTAGCATTATTTTAACAAAGACACTGCCACCTGGTGTCATCATTTCAAGGAAGATAACCTGACATAGCAAACATTACAGACAAAAATATACAAATATACCTAGCGTTTAATATGTAGTTATAAACTTAAATATTAAATACTAAAATCCGATAAACACGCTGCAATACAATTCGTACTTCTAGAGCGTAGTTTATATATATATATATATATATATATATATATATACTGATGTGAGCGATATATATATATATATATATATATATATACTAATGTGAGCGACAGCAATTGTTAGAGAATTTCAATACTGTGATTAATTAAAACAAAAGTTTTACAACAATGTGTTGAGATTTACTAAAGCTGGGATCTAAAATTCACAACTAAAATGGAGGCCAATGAACTGTTTAATTAATTCAATTGCTTTATATTTTTAGACAGTCAATCGTATCTATAATTCATTGATTACAGTTGCTATTACATGAATCACTTTTTGCTCATTATCATTAAATTAAAAAAAAACATTGTTGTGTTTAATATAACAGTCAGCCAGTTATGTGCAATACATGATACAGGCTTAGGCGATCATGTATTTTCGATACATGACCGACGAGGCAGGTATTTTTTTTATCGTAATAGGTTGCCATTTTTTCTGCGGTAGACCAGCTGCTATCCTAGACTATAGAACCCGGTCTTCCCTGCTATTTGCCCATAGCTGGTGGGGGGAAGAAAATAGAATTCACACCTTTCCCAAACACGTATTAGCACGTAAGTGAATATAATTGACTGGAATTCGAATTCTGATTCCTCAATCAGGGCTGCTATCCATTACCCATTGTGCTTTCCTCTTTAATATAACAGTGACTTGAAATGTAAACGCCTCTCTAAATTGAAGCAAAACAATCACTTAGTTGTCAAAGCTATCTGACGGTCTTGCAAGAATGGCTTGGACAAATACAGTAAGGGATCGGATTAATTAAACGGTTCATTTTGCTTGAGAACTAATTTTGTCTAAATCAAGATAATTATTTTCAGATTGAACTATCTTATTATTAAAAGAATAATGTAATTATTAAGGGCCTAACATGAAAGGTATAAGTAGATACACAACGGTAATTATTATTCTCTTTACAGCCATCCATCCATTCATCCATCCATTCATATATATATATATATATATATATATATATATATATATATATATATAACATTATAATTTATATATATATATATATATATATATATATAACATTATGATTTTTTCTCAGCGTGTGGTACAAACCACTGATTGTGCAATATATATATGTGTGTATGTGTGTGTGTGTGTGTGTGTGTGTGTGTGTGTGTGTGTGTGTGTGTGTGTGTGCGTGCCTGTATATATATATATGATAAAATATAGTTTTAAGGTAAGGTGTATTTATTGGTTAAAGTGTTCAATATCAGGGATAGAGCGTATATAAATATAAAAGTGGACATTGAAGTCAACACTCAGAGGCGACTGTCTGTTTCATGCTAAATACAATTGTCATGCGTTTAGAATGAAACAAACTATCGCTTTTGGGTGTTAACTTCAATGTCCACTTTAATATATATATATACATATCTATCTATCTATCTATCTATCTATCTATCTATCTATCTATATATATATATATATATATATATATATATTTAGTTTATGTAAAACGAGGTAATCCGTATGGGTAGACCCAAGGAGGATGATATCCAGAGAGCTCAATGTAAATTCAGAGCAAATATGTTTGAATAAAAACAGATCACTTTAAGGTTCCATATAATAAGTTATTTCACCACAACCCTTTTAAAAGGATCTGGATCATCAGACATTACTTCCAAAAGTTGAAATGAAAAATGAAAAATGAAAAGAAACTTACACAATTTTGACGGACCGCACCAAGCGTATGTGAAATTAACAAAGTGAGGAAATGAGGTGGGAGAGAAGATATGAGTGAGTTAGATGTACCATTTTCAATTCCTTTTGCTTAACCCCACTCTGTGTAGGCTAGACGCCGCTTAACTTAACGCATGCTATCTAGATAGAGATGGGTAAGGGGTGAGGGAGAAGGCCGACTTAAAGGTGGAAGATACAGTTAACAATAAATCAGGATTCACTCAACTTCTTAGATGATGTTATTTCGCATTACTTTAAAGGGTATATTTGGGGGTTAAAGTTTGATATAAATCTAAATGTCTAAAAAATCTACGACGAATTTAATTTAAAGTTTGTTGGAGTTTTGGGTATTTTCTATGAAATAGTCGATTAGAAAAATCATAGAAAGTACATTGAAAGAATAATCCATTTTATATTTAGTAATCCTTTTTATTTTCCTAAACTTTTTTCTTATAGCTTGTTAAGTTGACATCTATTCGTTTGATTCTTGTTCATAAATTAAATTGGTGACTGTTTTTAGATACCTAATTATCAAGGTTTATTCCAATTCAAATAATTTTATCATCAATAATGATTATTAAAGGGTAATATATTTCAATTTAAATTAAATTATTAATTTAAAATTTACCTCCGTATTATTTATTTAAACTCACTTCCAATTGGAGAATATTAGAGGAGAGAATTGGATACAAGATTACTAACAGAAAATTAGGTCCTTCTTTTACAATATTCTATATATCCGTACACATACTTTTTCCTTGTTGATTATTCAGTTGACATCTATTCGTTTGAGTTTTGTTCATAAATTCAACTCGTGACTGTTTTTAGATACCTACCTAATTATTATCAAAGGTTGTTCCAATTTAAATAATTTTATCATCAATAATGATTATTAAATGGTAATATATTTCCATTCAAATGAAATTACCAATTTAAAATTTACCTCCGTATTATTTAAACTCACTTCCAATTGGAGAATCCTAGAGGAGAAATTTAGATAAAACACTACTAAGAGAGAATTAGGTCCTTCTTTTACAATCCATACACATACACACCTCTACACATATCCTAACCCCTATCTATATCTACATACCTATATCTCCCTATATACCCATGAATCCATATATACACATGCACACACCTCTACACAGAAACTATATGTATATTCCCATATCTACACATATACACCTATAGAGAAATACATACACACATATCTACACGCATATCCACACATACCCATATAATTATATATATATACATCCACACGCATAAAGTTATATGTAAATCCATACACATATACACACGTACACATACACACACAAACGCCCATATGTACATCCATACATATGCACATATATACGCATACCCATATACATATACATGTACACATACACACACATATATATATACACCCACACCCACATATACATCTATACATATATATATACACACACACATGTATATATCTATATATATACACACACATATATATATAGACATAAACATACATATACATACACATGTCCACACATACACCCACTTATGCCTGCATTCAAAGACCATATCAATATCAATATGTAATTGCATTATGAATACACAAAATCGTATAATTATACATATCTCTACACATATATTACCCGCTATCCCATCTCTATGGCAAGACATATAAGTACCCATCTAGTTATACACATTCACACACACACACAAACCCCCCCCAAAAAAAACCTTGTATGCCTCTCTTTCCATATAAACGAAAATACATGTACGCATCAAAAAGTATATCAGTATTCAAGTACAATACCATAGACATATACATACAGTCATGTGTTCGCGCTCATGCGTGCATAGCAGTATTTCCAACAGCAAAAAGACCAAAGGTCATTCAATATTATTCTTCCTATATAGCTATTTTTCAATGTATTTACTTAGGTTTAGGTTGTTCTTGTGTCTGCATTTAAAAACTAGTTCATTGTATCTATTTAGCAATAAGTCTGGATTTTTATGTTTGATTATGAGGATTTTCTCTTTCATGCATAAGTCGCATCTGTCTCTGAAATTTTTTTGAGTTCTGGCTCTCGAGATTATTTTCCACTTTATTTGTGGGGTTAGGCCACCCTCCAACAACTATACGCATACAAGCGTTTTTTTTTTTTTTTAGCAATTCTTTTTCAACACTTCTGGCGTCGTATCAAGTGACGGTATTGAATGTAGAAATATTTGCTTTGTATTGAGCACTCTTTTAAGAACAGTATTTTCTGGTTATTGGAAGTTATTCTCTATACACAAATCCTATACTGGGAACCCTGATATATATATATATATATATATATATATATATATATATATATATATTTTGTATGGATTATCTTGAAGGTGACCAAGATTTTACTATTTTACGATCATTAACAATTGCCTGATGATTGCAAAAGCGAAAAACCAGAGTCATCTTTCATATCCATACAACTGAATATATTAGCTCTATCACTGATAGTGAAGTGTTTTACAATAAGTACTGCGCATATAAAATAAAATATATATATAAAAACACACAAACACACACGCGCGCACGCACACACACACATACACACACACACACATATATATATATATATATATATATATATATATATATATATATAGATAGATAGATAGATAGATAGATAGATAGATAGATAGATAATGCACATCCATGTATATATAAAAATTATATTTGTAGTCTAAATATAATTATATATGTATATACACATACACATGTTATTTAAGTTATACGATTTTACTTTCGGGCAATTAAAGTTTTGGAAACTGTAGTTGAAATTTACTCTGACTATTTAAATAGAAATTGATCGGAAGAAACTTTTGATGTTTGTTAAACAACAGGAAAACCATTTATGGCATCATTTTAATAGAAATAATACAAGCAAAAAGATTCATTTTACATCCTCTCTATTTTAGGCACTGGACACCAGCTTCCTCTCTGTTTCCTTCTTTTAATTGTTCTCTCAAACTGGGAGAAACTTTCTTTCTTTCTTTTCAATTATTCCACCACAGTGGAGGAGATTTCTTTCTTTCTTTCTTTCTTTCTTTCTTTCTTTCTTTCTTTCTTTCTTTCTTTTCAATTATTCCTCCACACTGTGAGTCACTTTCTTTCTTTCTTTCTTTCTTTCTTTCTTTCTTTCTTTCTTTCTTTCACTCCATCACACTGTGAGCCACTTTGTTTATTTGGTCGTCTGTTTCTTTCTTTCTGTTGTTCAACCACACTGAGCCACCCGCTTTGTTTGTTTGTTTCTTTCTTTCTTTTTACACTGTGAAGCACTTTGTTTGTATTTTTCTTTCTTTATTTCTTTTAGTTGTTCAACCTCTCTGAAGCGCCTTCTTTCTTTCTTTCTTTCTTTCTTTCTTTCTTTCTTTCTTTCTTTCTTTCTAAATTATTCTACCACACTGTAAGTCTCTTTCTTTCTTTCTTTCTTTCTTTCTTTTCTTCCACTGTCTCAATTCCACTTTTTCGCAAACTCTTATACACAATGCATTGATATTTAGACGATCTCTTTGTTTCTATATTCCTCAAATTGTTTTTTCTCTTTTTCTCCCATTAGACTTCTCTTAACTCTGACATATAACAACTTGAAGCATCTGAACACTCTCATTGAGCCAATTATATCTTGGAATATTATATCTAAAATAACAGGAAACTGATTTAATAATCTTGGAATTCTATTGTCACGGTACTTCCGTACAAAGGTCTTTCGTTTCATGAAGGGAGTGGGTTACGGAATTTATATCGGCTAAGGATTCAAAATAAATAAGCGACTTAAAGAAATTATGATGTAAGCATGGCGGAAGTACGCTGTGGAAGTTGCTTTCCCTACATTTATGATTTTCTTACTAGCTGAGTCGACCCAGGGAAATGAGTTTTCCTACCAAACTTGAAATCAATACAACTTCTAATACATGTACTTATACATACACATACATACATACATACATATATATATATATATATATATATATATATATATATATATATATATATATGCCCCTTACATAGGGATATTTACTAATCGGATAAATATAGACATTGATGGGTATAAATAGAGTGAGATAGATAGATAGATAGATAGAGATAAATAGATAGATAGAAAGACATGAATAGACTGAAAAAACACACACACACACACACACACACACACACACATATATATATATATATATATATAGAGAGAGAGAGATACAGAGAGGGAGATGTATATATATATATATATAGAAAGAGAGATGGATAGATATAGAAAGGGACATAGATAGATAGATAGATAGATAGATAGATAGATAGATATAGAGAGAGGGAGAGAGATAGTTTGAATAGACTGAGAAACATATATATATATAAATATATATTTTTATATATATATATATATATATATATATATATATATAGAGAGAGAGAGAGAGAGAGAGAGAGATGGATTAATCGCTATTTAACTGCCCCACCCACAATGGAAGGATGTAACACAATCTCTGTATAAAATCTTGTGTACAATATGCGTACATACGGTCCAAGAAATAATGCTCAATCCACAGTTTAATTGTCATTCAAAGGGTTAGAATTCTCAGAAACCCAGCAAAGAAATGGAATTGATATTTTTTTTATTGCTGCCCGAAGCCCGTTGAAAAGAGTGCAGCATTTAACTATTTCATTCGTGATCCTAGAGTACATATGTGACAAGAACAATTATTGTCAAGTTCTCGTGACCGTTGTCACCATGGTGTCAAAATCTAACGGCCCACCCACCCCGTTTTAGTGCATTGTGGGGGAGGTGTTACAACAGGTTTGAAATCCCTGGGAACAGGATTTCTTTATTACAAAGCCGCGAAAAGCCCGAAGTCAATAGAACAGATACTAGATTTTGATCCCAGCTGGAAGGCTGATCAAAAGATGTCTGGTACACAGTGACAAAGTGATGCCTCCACTGAGAATGTTAATGAATTTGGTGTGGTGTGATGTTGTGTGGTGGGGTGGTGATGATTGTGGAGTGTATGTGTGTGTGTGTGTGTGTGTGTGTGTGTGTTTGGTTTGCTGTGGTATGATATGGTGTTGTACTGTGGTGGTAGTGGAGTGTGTGGTGTGGGTGGTGTGTGGTGGTATGTGTGGTGTAGTTTTGTGTGGTGATGGTGTGTGAAGTGGTGGTGTGTGGTGGTAGTGGAGTGTGTGTGTGTATGGTGTGGTGTGGTGTTGTATGGCGGCGGTGGTGGTGGTGGGTTTGTGTGGTGGCGTCGTGGCAATGTGTGTGTATGGTATAGTGTTATATGATGGTGGTGGTGGTGTGTGTGTATATGTGGTGTGGTGGTCTGTGCTGGTGGCGGTAGTGGAGAGTGTGTGTGGGGGTTGTGTGGCGATGGTAATGGTAATGGAGTCTGTGTGTGTGTGTGTGTGTGTGTGTGTGTGTGTGGTGTTGTGTGGTGCGTGTGTATGTGTCTGTAGAAATGTGATACACAAATGTGTTTTCGGAATTAACATAAGGATAAAGCTCCAGCGATTCATTCAGTTTTTTTCTTTCTCAATTTCTCCCACGCAACCATTTCTTCATCGACACTCCTCCCCGAGTCAATTCATGTTGTGATTCCATTTTTAAATTATCTCATTTCTCCTTTTGATCCTCTAGTCTTTCTTTATCATCTCTTCCACCCACTTTTTCTTCTTCTTTTCTCTTTCATTTTTTTAAAAAAATTCCTCCCCCTAGTCACTCCACTTCCTTCCGTATTCCTTATTTCTTTGCCCCCCCTCCTCTTGTACTTTCTCCCTTTTCTTTCATTCACCCTCCCACGACAAGAACATCCTCCCCCTTACTTCTTCACGCAATTTCTTCTTACTTTCAGTTTGAATCCATTGAAGCCATATTCCGCAAAAGAGATGCCGGAATCAAAGACGACTTTTGTCTCTGTGGTTCGGAAACTATGTATCCCAAGAGGCTAGGAAATCCTGGAACGACTGCAATTATATTAAGAATCTTTGAAACATTGATATTTAAAGAAATCGTAGCCATGAATCCAGGCCAATGAATAAATTCTCATTATTATCATTTCTTTTCAATCGAAACTTTAGTTATTATATAAGCTTAGTAATATCAATGAGCAGTTTCTGTTTTATTCTGGGTTTGACAGTAAAAAGAGATCTTGCATTTAGTGTGTCTTTATTTACTTATGAATGTATGTCTTTCAAATCCCACATTATATATGACATTTTTATTTATCTATCTATCTATCTATCTATCTATCTATCTCACTCATGTTTCCATCAGTATATCACAGTCTGCTCCTCTTTATCTCAGACATTTTCTTTTTTTTTCTTTCTCCCTATCTATCTATCTATCTATCTATCTATCTATCTATCTATCTCAGTCATATTTCTATCAATATATCTCTGTATTTTGTCTTCTTTCTATCTACACATGGACACACATTTGAATTTATTCAAAGCCCTTTGATTTTACTGTTTTCAAACCTTAGCTAAAGCAAAAATATTAATAATAATTACCATCTTTTAAACCGCACCCGAATGATAAAGTCTAAATTAGCGTTTCTATAATTAATACCAGATTGTACGGTTTCAATAAAATGGGTTAATATACTTATTTAATAACATTTGCTTTGCATGATAGAAGGCTTAACTACCCGATAGTAGGTGATCAGTTGATCAGTGGTTTTACTTAAATTGAATTCATTGACCGCTAACATTCTTAAATCGCTTAATTTTGTCTTTTTTAAACACTTTCTTTACTGGTACCAAATTTGGTGATGGCTAAATTATTTCAAAAGTTTACTTTAATCTGACAAATGTAGACAAGTGTGGGACACCCAATGAGGATTGAACGCATTTCAGTAGTATTGTTCTGTACTTAGCCGCTTTTATACACTAAGGTGTCCACGTCTCTTCTTCCGTCTTGTCTTTGCCTTCACTTTCTCACACTCGCTCGCTTTATGATATGTATCACACTCCTGACAGTGTAAGTAGTCCGCATCAAAATTGGAAAATGATAATTGTAGTAAATGTAATTTTAAAATACTGGTTAGAACTTTGACGATCTGTCTGCGATGGATTGTTTTTAAGTTTTATTATAAGACCGAAAAAGGTACGGAAACAAGTAGTTCGGTTTCTGTAGTAGAGATCTCAAGAATTCTGATTTTGTCTGTGCTTTCCTCTTTCAGATTTCATTGCATGTCGTAGTTTCAGCAGGGAGACAAAGCATTACATGGAGAGGATGTGTACCCATTGATACCCGTCCTCTCTATCACCTTCTCCCACTCGCTAAATTCAAGAAACGATGCCGACTATGTACCCGGAAATAAAGCGAGTGAAATAAAGAAACCCAAAGAAAATGTCGTCCGTGATTGAGCCGGTTAACGCAGCGTAGGTGTCTCCGGTGAGGAATTGCTGACAGACACACTAGAAAACAAAGGGTCACGTAACAGAATAGCGTTTGTATACCTTTTTCAATTTAAACCTGTTTATCAACGGAATATCTATACCTGTTATTGCTTTCTTTCGTGTAACGTTTGCCTCTGTTTTATTTATTATTTACTCAATTTTAATGAATAAAAATAAATTTTAGTCTTAACAAAAAACATCCAAAAACAGTTGAGGTATCTTTTAAACCAAGTGAAAATCCTTTCTCCCTTCAAATCCATTGATCTCGTGAAGAGCAATTGGGTTCGGTTATTTTTATCCTCTCTACTATTTTCTATGCCACCGAGTGGCTTAATCCTGGCTTAGCAATTTACAGCACAATGATGTAAAAGTTCCAAGAGCCACTGGAGGTAGAGGGTTATAGAGTAAGAGGCATTACTTCAAACAAGGCGGTGTGTCACTCACGAACTATTCGCATCTGTCTCTCTTTTAACCTTGAAAACAGCTTGGGCCTTTGTTTTCAGAATGAGGCATTCGACAAACTGTGACTTAGGCCAAAAGAAGCTAGACTTCAAGCTCAGGTGCCGTTCACTACTCGACTCCATTTCTCTATTTGACCCTCTAGTGAATAAGAAGTCATAACAGATGACGTCACAGTAGTAGTGTGAGATTTAGCGGCAGAACCGAAGCGGAAATCTGATAATTTCCTCGACAGTTTTTCATGACGGCTATTCTTGTTTGTTCAAGCTGATGTTTAGTTGCATTTCCTAATTTATCTCGGCTATATTTTTAACCCGTTTTTCTTTTATATAGCATGTTCCTTCATGATGTGGCCGATCATGACTCTCCACGACCGCCCGTCTTTTGCTGCTCTGAGTAACCGTTTATCATCCCTCTTTGTCCCACTTCTGCTCTCCATTCATACAAACGCGTTAAGTTGATTACTCGCCGCTTACCACCCGATTCTTTTGCTTTCACTATGTCCTGTGAGTGTTAAATTCTCCAGATCATCTTTCCTCATTATGTATTATACAAATTTCATCTGTCTGATGTTTTAAAATATTTTTTATTTCATTTCTTATTAACCCGACAACCATAAGCCAAACAGGAGGTCAAAGGTATGCGAAAGAACTTCGGCAACATACAAAAACAAAAATCACAGAAACATCTACTTAGAAAAAACACTTAAGACTGTGGCAGAGGAACGTTGTACACAAGTACAGTTATCATCTTTTTTTAAAAAAAAAAAATTAATCAGCATTATCCCAAGCAAGGCAATAATGCCGCTAAGACACAAGCGGTTAAAGGGTGTGGAAGAATTAAGAACAGAAACAATAATGATGAGCGGAAAGAGAAAAGAGTAATTAGGAGGACAGTAGATAGCGATTGACATTGCATTTAAATTTTTGCAGATTAAAGTTGGCTGGAGAGCATGGAGCTGGAAGGGAGTTCCACAAGTTACAAGTGCGAGAGAAGAAACTGTTAGCATAGAACTTACGGTTACATCTAACCAGCTCGACTGTAAGTTGACGAGATCTCGACGCCCGTCTAGTACTGCGCTTAAATTCAAAAACACTAGGTACCATAGTGAAGAGCGATCTTTACTTGCAAAAAAATACAAAATGTGGCACAAGGTCAAAATGGGGAAAAGGACGGTCTTTTTTCTGTCTTAACATTAAACTTAGCTAACCACAAACACTGACCCAAACATACCACAATATTCCTAACAGCAAAACAACGCATTCTTATTTACCTTTCTTACTACATTCACCGTAATACCTCATGTCTCTATGAAAGTCCTAACTAGTCCCCATATGTACAATTCATTGTCTGTGGAGGGAGGGGAATAAAACAGCAATCTCGAAGAGCTCATCCGAATAATTACCATGAAAGTATTTATAGAAGAGACACTCTGGTGGGAAAGTGACTGCAGTCGAGCTGACAGATCAGGACCAATAATATTGCTGATTCTTCTTTCGATCTTATCAAGGAGATCAAGGTCTACCAAAATATTCAAAATGTACATTGGTCTCGTTTTTGAAGACGTCTAAAATCTTGATATTGACAACTTCAAGAAGGAGAGTGTTTCACATATTCACTACTCGCTTTGAAAAAGGATATTTTCTTATTTTTAAACGAGAGATAATTGTTTGTTGTTTTTTTTTTTTTTTACTAACGGTCGTCTATTAGTTTAAGACTTTACACATTGCCAAAAGGCGTTGGCAGAAAATGTTTCAGACACAATGCTGATTATTAAAGTCACAACCATATATAGTTTTATTTTTATCTTCTTTTCTTTTAGTTTTTTTCAACTCTGTCTATCCTTTCGTCGTTGTCCGCGCTTCTTTTTTTTCCTCCTTTTCACGTATTTCTTCTTTCCGTCTTTTTGTTTTTCCTTTCATCCTCACTTACTGTCTATCT